ATAATAGTACACTGATGAAACACTTGCATGCTCATTCAGAAACAGATTTATTGAAAGAATCGATACTTCTTCTCGTAGTTGCTTCCTCTTGATTGTTTCCGAATCTCCAATTTTATTTAACTAAACATTGCATACATCTCACACATTATTTCGTTCTTTACTTAATTATTAAGAACACATGGAGAAAGAATCTAGCATACAGGCGATACATGCCTCTTGGGAGTTGGTACAAAACGGTACCTTAGAACAATTTGCGAAACCTTAAAAAGAATATAATACAATTGTGCTTGAACGTGCAAACGCATTTGATGACTTTAATAATCTCGACCATGCCAGCAATCTATTACAACACGCGTGACGATCGTATTATTTATTTTTTCTTATTTTTCCTTCCCAGCAATATCCTTCCAGCAATCGCAAATTAATACGCACTTGCGCCACAGCTTTGACGGCGCCGTTACTCCAATTATTTCTCGTTTTAAAAACAGCTTAATATTATCGTATTAATATTAGTAATAGACAATAATTATCATAATAACGACAATATTGAATGATGATACATCACATTGCAATGACGATCATTTCATAATCGGTTCCACGTTTATATTGGAATTTGTGAAACTTAAATTGTCTCTGATAAGAGGATTGAATATTTCAAACGTGTTTGCATTAATCCTCCAACGCAATCAATTGTAGGAATGTTAGTTTAATGTTTTGAGTCGTTCGTTATCAAGGCATTATTATATGCTATCGGCTTACTAGCCGATACCATCATTGGTTGTCAATGCGACCTCCCAATTGCCGATAACTTTCGCGCTCGTGCCCGAGCTTCCGTACGAATATTTGTGTACTCGAACCACAAGACATTAGGGATCAGCGTTGTATCACGCAGCAATAAAAACTCTGATATTCGCCTGAAGAATAGAAGAATAACAAAGATTAGAATAATATGAATGACATTATTAAGCAGTAGTCATCAGAGAAAGCAGCTTTATAACTGTTGTAAAACTCTTTAATATTATTGATTTATACATTTAGATCTAATGAGGAACTATGGACAAGGCCAATATCATACTAAAGAATTTTAGAACAGTTGCAAAACTTTTCTCTGCTGAATGCAACCATTATCGCTATTACGCCATTTTCCGATACTTACCACGAAACTACTATAGGAAAAAACGGCGTCAGGATCATGTGCATGATTATGAACCACGCTAATCCCAGTATAATTCCAATTAATGTACCCCAAATTACTTGGGTGTTGGAGTGGTACAACAGATACACTCTGCTGTAAGTTACCAATAAAGCTGTGACGATGCATCCTATCGCTACTATTGTCCGCCAAACTCTCTCAGTTACCGTACAGTTGTAATTTAACCTGGAAGAAAAGTAACACATGAGTGAGTTAACAAGAGCGAGTGATATGTGAAATTATTTGTGATGTTTCATTACCTAAAGTATATAAAAAGTGTTGCGTATGCAGCAAAAAACCACATAAATTGTGCATGTGTAGACGGCATGCCATATTCGGCGTACAAGCTATCTCTCTTCATCGGCCTTGCTTGACGAATCGTGTGTTTTAATACATAATTTATACATTCATTGATACTGACTCCGATAAAAAGTACAATCTATAATTAAATAAAAAGTTACATTTGCGAGTCATAAATTAAATCTATATGAGTTATTACAATTGATTTATATGTATTATTACAATTAACTTACAGTATGTAAATCCCTCCTAAAAAGTATCAATGTAATGATGCCAGTTATAATGGCAAAGGGCATCAAACTTATTACAGCCAAAAACTGTCCAAAGATGTCCCCTGAAAATTTATGAACGTACATTATTGTCAAAAATAGATATTTTTTTATAATTTCAAATACACAGTCTTTTCTTAAATTTCATCAAAAGATTGAATATCCAAAGCTTAATAGTATAAATTAAATAGTTTGATAAGCTTTAAAAGTTTTTGAAAAACTTTTAAAGGTGGCTTAAAGATACAAAATATAAATAAGGAACGATTTCACAAATTCTTCAGTATTTCAATACATAACAAGAATTTCTACAAATTCTATAAACATTGGCATATAATTAAATATTATGATGAATAAATGCGCCTGGCTAAGTTTTATCTACATGATCATGGCAGTGTGTAAAACAATCGGTAACGAAGTAAAGAGGTGAAAACTCGGGATACTGACAATAAGAAACGCCGTGCTTTCGTACTGACCTTGCGGATACTCTACCAATGTCAGCGATAATGGGATCCATTCGGTCTCGTCACCGGCATGTGTGAAACGTGATTTAATCCCGTCGAGCGATGCCATCGTTATCGTGGTCTTGGAGGATGTGACATGTCTCGCACGGCGTCTCACGGTGAACGGACGTCGGACACGCACCGGCTGGACGATAGAAGAAGATGAGCTGGAGGGGAGAGAAAAAAGGAATCTCGTATTTACACCTGTGACTACGAGATTGTGGCCATCGCGTTGTCATCTACAATCGCCACTGCTTGTTCCATCACTCTTGTCGTAGCTGGCATTGACCTCGCTATAGAGTATTAATTATAATTGTAGCACGATTTGATCACAATGTTGATGAGGCCAAAGACGCGTGGACAGAACGCCGACGGTCTAGACAAGGCCACCAAACGGATCGTAGTGAAAGCTGGTCAAAGCAGGAGTTCGATGTCCCCTCCCTCTCCCTTCCACTCATTTCGAACTCGATCGGTTAGTGGTATGGCAATATTTCATAATTTTATTTATATAGCTATATCATATATTTCATAATTTAATAAAGAATTCTGGTGAAAATTTTTCTCATAATTTTTATTCGAATTGAAACATTTTTCAGAAATACTCAGAAATATTCGGAAAATTTATATCTTTTCTCAGAATTTTTCGTACAAGTGAATTTTGAAATATTCTGAAATTTCTCATTCCTTAATTTTTAAAAAACATTTTTTAATTTTTTAGATTTATAATATTTCATCAGAAATTAAACTTATAAAAAATCTTAAAAATCTTACAATATTTTATAATTAACATATATAAAAAATGTGAGTTATAAAATTATATAGAAATTCTGAAAAATTATATAGAAATTTATCTTAAAAATTATATGAAAAATTCTGAGAAAAATTTTTATGTAATACATCTAGCGGTAGGCTTACATATTCCTTTGAGTCTTAAAAAAGTACTTTCATAAAAAAATTTAATTTTTATAACTGTTTCAAAAACTTCTGTTTTAGTTTTATACTTAGTATGCTAAGGCCACTAATTGTAATGTCTGGATTCAGACATTGTTGAACGCAATCATGCCTTAATTCGCCATAAATTCGCCATGCTGAATGATCTTTCCATTGTTACTGCCGCGACAGGCAATGATAGCGATTTAAGCACAGCTTGAATTTTGGATACAAATTTAGCAGCAGTATGTCGTCCAGTGTAGATATCAGTGTCCTGTACTTTTTATTTTGTGCCATACAATACCTTCATTAAATAAGTCACTACTCTTATCAATCTCCAACAATTGATTACGTTGCTCACGAATTTTGAATGTGGAAGGATATAAATGAAAATAGTTGAAAACATTTGTATTTTCTTCAGAAAATCTAATGCTCAAAGAATTTATAAGCGAATCTATATACGGAAAAATAAACTTAATTTGCAGTATTCTTTGAGATCTTCTATAGAATTATACGTTCTTCTTTTAATTTGTTTTGCAACAGTCCGCGATATTTGAATCTCAAGAGCCGAATTTACTTCATCGAAGGAGTAGTGGCCATCTTGTCCAGAAAAAATAATTAGCGCCTCTACAAACGATTCTAGGAATGGCAGATTAAAAAATTGAAGAAATGAGAATCTTTATCATTCAAATCGAATTATTTTCTTTTAATAATATTAAACTTCATGCAACAATTTAAATAACTATATAGCAAGATGTCTCAAAATTCGCGTTTTCGGAGTACAGAACATAACACTTTATGCTAAAACAATTTTTTCCTTTAGCAAAATTGTGATAATCCGATAATTGCGTTTATTTGTTAACTTCAACCTGCTCTCCCGCAAAAACTTATCGGGCGCAATTTTACTAAAGGGAAAAGTTGTTTTTTTGTGCTAAAACAAACGATTGTTTCCAGTAAAATTACATTCAATTAAATAATTTTTGCCTTTATTCGTGTAACTTCACCTATTCTTCTACAAAAACTATTTGTTAGATGCAATTTTGCAAAAGAAAAAAAATTGTTGTTTTAGCACAAATAAGTATCATGTCCTGCACTCTAAATGCGCGAATTTTGGGACATCCTGTAGAAATTTCAGAAATCAAATCGATTGTACGAAAATCCGCTTAAAAATTTCGATCATTTGAAAGAAAAATGGGATGGAGAATTTAAGAATTTCGATGATTCGGTAAGAAGATGTAAATATAAATGGAAAAAATTAAGGACACTTAACATTTATGCAAACTTTCGTGAATACAGGTGCTTTTGCATATCTAAGGAACAATAAGATTTTATTTTAAACAGGAAATTAATCTGTCAACTCATTGTGATTCATTATAAATATTAGCATGTACAAAAGATGACGAGAGAAAAGGCTGCAAAGATGCGACATAATGCTCGCATTTATAAACTATGCTTTCATTTCACATTACATAGTTCTCTTATAGTTAGTCTTGATTAGAGACCCAATATTCTAATTTGGTCACAAGCAATTTTGTCAAAACTATATGAAAGAAAGATATATACAATTTCTTCTTTATATATACATATATATATATATACTATCTCACTCTATAATCATAATTAAAGTCATAGAGTGAAACAGTATAAGTTAGAGTGAAATAGTACACAATACATACATATAAGAAGAAATGATATCTACTCTCTACTATTCTTTGGAGTGGAATTTCACTCTAAAGAGTGAAAATTGAGCCAATCTTGAAAGAGTGATATTCACTCTAAAAGTTTTAGAGAGTACTTTTCTGTCTCGGAGGATTTTGACAAAATCGCTCGTGATCAGACTATGTTATAGAATCTCTAGTTTTGATGAAATTAAGTGGACAGACAGATTACATCGGTCTGCCCATGCCACGTCCCATTGGAGGTTGCGGGCCATCTTGGCTGCTCTTAGGATTCCTGATAGTTTCGTCGACAGAAAGGATGAGACAGGCGGCTTCCGTAGCGGCAGTCAATGCGTTGATCTTCACTATTGCCGGTTCCCAGACGAAGTACTGCATGTTATCCGTGATATTCTCTGAATTTATATCAACGCCGTACCACTGCAAACCTTTATGATGCTTCTGGCGCAATTTATTCAAGATATTCGTCGCGTCAAATCCAGCGTTATCGCATAATTGCCTGAAATCGATACGTTTCATTAATTACTACATCTTGTAAACATTTATGTATATACAATATACAATATATTTGAAACACTAAACGAGCAGTCGTCTATCAAGTGAAAAATTTTTCAATTTTTGCTCCTCTATAATATTATATAAAAGTTGTATTATACAAAAAGTTTATAGTGAAAAATTTTTATTTCCATTTTAGATACTTTTTTCATTGTGAAAAAAAAATAAAAATTCCGAAGGTAACAGAGTAAATAAATGGCGCTGTCCTTAAAGAATTTAAAATTTAAAGAATAAAAATGTAATATATACTTAAAAATTTTTTAAATGAATCTCTCTAAAAAGTGAAATTTCTGTCTTAAGGATAACGTATTGAATGTTACCTTAAAGCAAACATACCTCGGAATAACTTCGAGAGCTCTCGCTATTGCTCCTATCAAAAGTTGCTCTTTTCCAGCAATAGTACGCGAATAATCGCGTAAAGTCTTGGAGAGTTCCATTTCGATGGCACCACCACCAGCAACCACTGCATCATTTTTTATTAAGCGTCTAACGACCATGATCGCGTCATGAAGGGATCTCTCCGTCTCTTCTAGAAATTGATCCGCGCCTCCACGCAGGATAAATGTGCATGTCTTCGCTCGCGAACATTCATAGAAGAAGTTGAATCTAAAGATACAATTATAAATCACGTCAGATCGACTTATATCGATCGATAAATGTTTTGTTGTATAAATGAAATGGATATCATTTAATTTACCTTTCGCCACCGATCTGCTTTTCCTCGAAAGTCTGACAACTTCCAAGATCAGAGTCCTTTATGTCGTGCACCGTTGTTAAGATTGCACCACCGCATGCCTTCATCGTTCTCTTGAGATCTTCGTCAGGTACTCTACCGGCACAGAACATGTCCCTGTCTGCAAAATATTGCGTTGCGACATCACCGATCGGCAACGAGGACAATACTACTTTCGCACCGCTCTTGTGAATCTGATCGAGCTTATCATAGAGAATCTGCCACTCCGCATCTACAATTTTCTGATACTCTGACACATTGTCCACACGCACTTCGGCATTGTCTCGTTCGGCCTTCAATTCCAACTCAATGTTCAGTAATGCAATCTTGCATTGCTCATATTTTTTCGGTTGCATTTCGAATCCAGCATATGAAAAGGTTTTTTTGAAGGCCACTCCTTCAATTAGTTCCGAATCCTCCAGTGCACCTCCAGAAACCTAAATATGTTACTCAAAAATTAATTACGCCAGCATATTAAAATCTTTCATAAAATATAAGATCAAGTATGCCTACCTTTTTAATACCAATCATATTAAGAGGAAGTAATTCATCTAGCTTCATGACAGCCTTGACAACTAATTCGCTAAAATGATTCTTTTGTTGATATATCAACTTGGAATTCATAGCTGTGGCTGCGCATGTCTCCAGAAGCTCAATCTGTTCGTCCATGTCGCGTCTGTCTAATTTGACACTTAGTTCATTAATTTTATCTTTAGCTATTTGAAGCGCGCGACGAAGAGCTTTGATTATTATACGTGAATGTACGCCCTCTTCTATAAATGGTTTCATTTGTTTCAAAAACTCCCCTGCCAACAAAACTACACTGGTTGTACCATCTCCAACCTGTTAAATAATAGAATTCAATCAATAATTTCTTTTTTCTTTATTGACCCTATTTTATCTTCATAAAATTATTTTGTTTGAACGCTTGTGAAACAATCACAAATCTTTAAGAAATTGTCAGTCTATACGTTCTAGATTTGATATTCTCTGAATTCTTGCCAGTATAACGTTATTCTTATTGCGTTATTCCAAGTCGACATGTTATAAAAAAAACACGTCGGCCTAAATATTGCCATTGTTTTCAGAGAGTGCAATATTAATAAGTACAAAATAATTATTACCTCAGCGTCTTGTGATTTTGCAATATCCACAAGAGTCTTAGCAGCAGGATGAATGATGTCTAATAATTTCAGGATGGTAGCACCATCATTGGATATAGTGCTCTTTCCATTTTGATCGACTATGAGCTTGTCCATACCGCGAGGACCTAGAGTGGTCCTAACGGCATCCACGACTATCTGGCATGCATTTATATTGGATATAACTTGTTGCTTTCCCTGAGACGTATCCGTACCTTCCTTCAGTAGGATTATTTGAGGTTGCTATTTAATCAATAAGAGAAAAATTCAATGATAGATACATTTATGATAGATCATTTCAACTTAAGTACATAGATACCCTCGTGTATTTTCCTATTAAAGATAAATTGTAAAGTAATTGAAGCAAAGTTATTGAACGATAAGAAAAACGATAAGATCAGAATCTTCATCATTCGAAGATCTACATTCTACATCATGCATTAATGTCCATTTCTATCAATATAGATTAACTTTAATCATGGTTTAACTTATTTTTTCTCTCTCTTTCTAGTTTTAAGAATTAAGAAAAGATGAGGAATAAAATTAATTAAAAATTAAATTTGCCTGGAAGAAATGGATATAAGACTGTTGGAATCAATAAACAAGAATAACTTCAAATAACGTCAAAATGTCTTATATCTTTTACACAATTCTTAAAAAAGTATCTTTAGGACATCCTATTTTCCGAATTTTAGCTTTTTGTTCAAATTCTTCTGGGGAAGATTCAGCGTGAAATAAGTTTCCATATAAGGTTATAAAATCGGACCAGAGAGCCGACTACATGACGATTGCGACGAGTCGCAAAAGCTGCGAGATATCTGAATAATCTCTTTAATTTGGTGAGGTATTCCTTGCCATGAGAGAACATGACGTTAAATAAAAGCAGTGAGTGATCATAAAAAGCGAAGAACAAATATTAAATATAAAAGCGAGACACGAGATAATGAGGCGTCTCGAGTCAGTTTCAGTTGAAGATGAGATCGACATGAATAAAGTTAATAGCGATTAATGACACTTTCGCGTTTCTCGCATTAAAGCTTACCATCTTGGAATCTTTCTTCTTTCAACCAAAAGTTCTTATCATACGCGTTATTCGCCAATTAATTTTTTAACGCTTCGCGATTGCCGACAGGATGACGATGATGTCAAGCAAAAAACATGCGTTCTCGAGAGGTTAGAGCATCGTATAAAATTGCGATAGTGCTCCCCCCACTTACTAATAGTTTTGTCCAATTTTCATCTCAGATAGCCAATCAAAGGTGCGTTCCAAAACTTGATTTTGTCAATTATGTATCTTAAAGCGAAGTCAAAATTATAAATTTACAAGATAATGACCAATGAAATCATAAATGTTTCTATTAAATTTGCATATTTGTGTAATTTTCACTTCATTTCAAAATATACAAGATATACTCTGACTAAAAGTGAATATACTCTGACTAAAATGAAAGATGAAAAGGTATTTTTTCAAGCTGACACTCAACATTCACTTTCAGTGTCAAAATAAATCACGTGATCTGTTTTGAAATATTTGCTAACGTGCGAAGGAACAGACGTAAGTATGGTTGTGTTCCAAAATTTATTGCGAGTGCTAAAAATATATATACACACATAAACTATAGATTTTTAGCGCTAGCAGTGAATTTTGGAACACAGACTTTATATAATTTTTCGCCCGCCTCACAATTTGCATCGCGATTTCAGGAAATGACTTTTCAGGAAGCAGCTCATATCCTTGAAATATAGATACTCGACAATTATCCTCTCAAAAACTGATCTTGTCTAGCGTTCGATTATGCTATGTGGGAGATTGTGGAGATTGTGTCTAAAAAGTTGTAATATTTGCATCGATATGATATACAACACCCACAATTAGTCGCACCCAGGAAGTGAGGTATTTAAACGAATGATTTTTTCGTAATTTATATTTTACAATCTCTTACACGAGAAATATGTGTTAACTTTTTTCACACGCCTTGCTCGAATCGCATTAATTAACATGACGACAATTTTCATTTGCATAATTCTAGAAATCATGTAACGCGAAGGCTCATTCTAATATTTCGATTACGTAAATTGCGATCCAGAATATAAGTTATAGCTTTCGTAACACAGACGGGATCCTCATACATTCGCCACAGGTTTATTTTTAAGCGTTACTATATTTGTATAGGTCTGTCTTCTATGATATTGTGTAATACGCAGCTCTATTATCACGTAATCTCGGAAAACGACTTGATCGAGCCGAATGCTCTTCAGTCATTCCCGCGCTCTTCTATCGCGCTCATACGTTTCTACATTGAACTCTACATCTCCGACAATCGATACGCGAACGGGTTTACCGAGAAGCTTCAAGACCGTTGCCAGTTTATTTTTTCTTCCTCGAACCAGAATCTAACGGAGACGAGGAGTGAGTTAAATCGTAATAAAATTACTCGAAATCGGCCGATATTGCTAAAACTATCGTTTGTGTCAGAATATTTCTTGCAAGTGTTCGAAATCAGTTTTTGTAATTTAACCTGTTCTCCAACCTCTTTCCATTTAAATTAGAAAACAAGCTTATGAGAATAGCTTTCACAAAGTTCGTGATTCAATGTGTTCATTTTATTTGGTAACACCAAAAATAAATCGAAAGAACATGCGATTTCTCTTTTTATACTTTGCCCGTGAGACATTTGGAGAAAGTTCAAGGTGATGAGGTACCGGAAATGTCAACGAGCTTTTCTGAAGGCGCAGGCGCGTCTCGTGGGGGACAATCGTGTGAGAAATCGATACGCGTTTGAAATTTTACTCGGGGTTCACATTGTTTAGGATGTCGAAAGATCTTTTGAATTTTCAATACGCACAAGAAATTAAAAAAATTCTTTAAATGTAAATGAATGTAGTTAAACAAATAATAATTAAACAAGTAAAATACAAATATAAAACATACAACGATGAATATAAAAAAGGAAAGTATGTATATAGGGTTCAATAAAATCATTCAAATGCTGAATGGTGTTTTTAACATATAATGATGAATATAAAAAAAATGAATTTATCAGTCATTTATGTATAATATATATTATATGTGAAAAAATAAAATTGAAAAATCTGTAAAGTTATTATTTAAAAAAGTATTTGAAATTACATTTGAGTGAGTCTACAATTTTAATTGAAATTGTATATATTCCATATATCTTCTAGTTTTTTTCCTTTGGATTTTCAAGGAAACTTAAATAATCATCATTTTTAGTTTAGTGTTTGCTGTGGAGAGAGGAAAATACAGGGAAGATGAAAACAATTTGGATAATTGGTGGGCCGGGATGCGGTAAAGGAACGCAATGTGACCGTATGATTGAAAAATATGGATTTCTTCACTTGAGCAGTGGTGATTTACTGAGAGCAGAAGTTGCTAGTGGCAGCGAAAGAGGTGCGACACTTCAGGATCTGATGTCCAAGGGACTATTTGTGCCAACGGTATGTAATATGCAAATTTCCATTAATTGGTTTTATCATTTAAGAACTAATTAACTTGCATTTACATTAATTTTTTAATTATATAAATAATATAAATTTTGTAATAAACAAATATAAATATGATTATTAAAAATATAAGACTGAAAATCGAAATTGTGTATGCGCCGAAAGAATGAAACAAAAAAATAAAAAGAGAAATATATATTGCGTATCTTACGCGACAAACCCAGTTTTTCTCAGTGTGAAGATCATGTGGTTCCGCTAGGACATTGTGCTGGAGCTCATAAAGGAACAGATGGATAAAGCTCATGAGGAAGGAACCACAAAGACTGGCTTTTTTATCGATGGCTACCCTCGTGAGAAGGATCAGGGAATTCTCTTTGAGGAAAAGGTAAGCTAGCCCTTTTTTCTTTACTATTATATATATCTCTTCTGCTTTAAATTATCATTACGTTGCTGCACAGGTTTGCCCTGTCGACTTAATTCTCTTCTTCGATGTAGCGAATGATACTATGAAAGAGAGACTCCTTGGACGTGCTGCTGTGCAGCACAGGGCAGATGATACTGAGGAGACAATACAAAAAAGAATCGAGATATTTAATGTAAAAAACAACGAGCTTGTCGAATATTACAAAGACAAAGTTGTGAGAGTAAGTTCAGATATGTAATATACTTTTTTCATTTATTCTCAACCGTCGTGTATCCTACAAATTATAAACTAATTATTTCCTTTCAGATTAATGCAGAAGGCACAGTCGATGAAATATTCGCCGAGGTATCGAAAACGCTGGATACTTTATTCTTGGCAGACCTAATTCAGTGTTGCCAGTAAAGGAAGTGTAGTATTAACCCATAGAAATATTAGTATTTATGTCGTACTACCGTAACAAAACAGCAGTACAAATAGTCGTACACATTTAGCTTTTTTTTACTGATTGGTAAAAAGGCAGTAAGCTGGCTCCAGCTTACTATTTGAGCCGGTAAAAAAAGAAAGTTAAATATTTATTTAACGACTATTTGTCCTACTATTTTGTTATATAAAATGGCACGTTCAACAATATTTTGATCTTATAATGATTATGATAATGACGTAATCACGTTAATTTTTATTACATAGCATTTATAAATAAAGACAATTTGGATAAAACAAAATGATGAGATTGCTTTAAAAATATTTGTAAAAATGGATGAAAACTATGCTTATCCCCCCTGACAGTCAATAAATAATCATAAAAAGTGATGAAAGGCATAAAGTGCTTTTATTCAATACATAGCTTATTTTCACTTACACGTGCCTTTATCACTTACGATTATTTACTGACTGTCGGGGGGGG